GGGTATAAAAAGGTAGATGGGAGGGGATTCACGGATGAAGTAGAAGAGACAGGAGAACAAGCGGGAGAGGGAATCTGGCGAGGAGACGGGCGAGGGCAAAGGTGTCTTTTATTCTCCTCAGACACACAGACAGAAGGACAGAGACAAAGTGAGAGAATTGTCGCTCGTTCCCGGCGTCAAGTCGGCCTTGCGTGTGTTGCTGAGGTGCGCTGCTGGTGCTGTACGGATACCCCGTTGTCCAAGGTAAAAATTGGAGGCTGTTTAGTTCAAATGACGTGATCGCTACCTTGCACATGTACCCTCCTTGGCGGCATGCCATGTACTCTTAATTACCAATGTTGGCTCTTTGTAGCCCTCTCTGCCGCAGTCAGCCACGACTAAGTCATGTTCGCCACGATAAGTTACCGTAAGGTCCCATCCCATCCCATCCCATGCCGTCCGAAAAGAGACTTGGTCGCGGTGCGTAGCCGCGGAAAAAGTCTGCTCTTCTCCATGCTGTTGCATGTCTGACCCGGAGACTGACCCTGGGAGATCCATGAAGCCGTGGGGTCGCTGTTTTGCAATGTCGCGGCTCGGTGTTCCGGCATCTTTTTGGCGTCGGGACGGGTATTGGTAATAACCTACTCCAGGTCTGACAGAACACCTCAACCCAGCCTGACCACCCCATGTTTACATTGCGTCGAAGAGGAAAGCAGAGGCTTCTTGGAATAGCGTAGAAACTTGCGATACCAGCGCAATGAGTTCTTCGTCAAGGGTCCTCGTCGGTGGTATGGCGCAACGAAGATTGCCAATTCAAAGTACCCCGCCAAATGTGGCTTGATAAGCCCCGATATCAATCATCAGGGACCCTGCGCCACGTTCTACCCTCGTCCCGACTCCCGACAACGCGCCATTGCAAGACAATTTCGTGCCAGAAGCTGCAGGACAAGCCGCAGAGACGTTGTCAAAGTTGCAATTCCTGCCTCATCTGGCGTGCTGGCGCCCAGCCTCTTGGCTTAGACTAGACACCTGTAACCTCACCTTGAAGAGCTCGCCAACAGAAGGGCTGAGAATACCAAGCGTCTTCCGCCCTTGGCTACTCTTGGCGCCCTATCAACGTCCAAGACTCGAGACGTATGTCAAATCTGTATTGTAGAAGACCGTGATGGCCTCTTGCGCGCCATTCAGATTGTCACGATGGCGACATGCCGCTCTTTGCAGAACTTCCGTTGTGTTTCTTGGCACATGTCGTTCCAGACTAGAAGTCATTGAACGTGCTACAGAACGGTATGCTGGCCAGTCCAACGTGGACCCGATCCTTTGGATAGGCTTTTGACAGCAGCTTATCTAAAAGCTTGTAGATCTCGTCCAAGAATATCGTGTCTCGACTTGGACCGTTTCAATCTCTTTGCTACGAAGTGCAATCGGTCAGCTCGGTGAGGGTGGTGGGGTAGCCCCGACGTCCGCGTCGATCGGCTGCGCGGTTGTCGGTTGCCGGCCCCCGGCTGCCGGCTGCGGGGTTAGCCCGATGTCGCTTGACACACCGAGATCCCTTGCTCCAGTTCTTTTCTCTATGCCGTGGACATTGATGACATTCCGTGTCCACTCCTTGGCCGCCATGCTCCACCGCCAGCCAAGTTCCCGAGACTAAGTTCCTGAAGATCTATGGCTCCGGAACTTCATTGGCTATTCGTTGTGGTGGATATTCTTCTTCGCGGAATCTTGTCGCCATGGAGTTTCGCCCACTCAATTCCACAATACTGAGCGTAGATCATCGAGAAGTGAAAACTCGGATATCCTATGACGCCAGAGGTACGATAGAGGCTAGATTCGTAAGGATCCAGTGTTCAGGTTGTCCCTCTTTGGGGAATTTCTGTTAGTAAAACCTCGCGTTTCTCCCCCCAGTTTTGGTTTCGTTGAAGTTGTCTGATTGGATTTTATGGTCGTTGGATGCAACTGTCCGAATAAATACTCGTGCCGTTTTTTATTCATCTGCGTTTAGCCATAAAAACCTTCCAAGCTTGAACTGTACACTTGCAAGCCTTTCAAAGAGACAGAATACCCTTAAGTGAAGATGTCCTTCAACAAGTTTCATCACACCACACAAAGGCCTCCACGTAGGATTCTTGCGCTGACGCGATCGCCAGCACCTTCGGATACACCACTAGCACGCCTCCAGGTCCAAGTGCTCTAGTTCGAGGTTTCACATGCCGAGAATGATCTCTCCGTCCTCCAGATACGAGAACTTCGACGAACCAGGGACGAGCGAGCTTCTTCGCTTTCTTTGATGCCTTGCCATTACTCATTTCGTCAATCAAGATCAAACCATCATTGGTCGTGACCTCATCACGCTTCGCTGGAGCGTTCATACGTATTCCCATAGCATTGATGAGACTTCTCTGGCGGTAGCAATGGTATTGATGCCGGCGGCTGAGTATGTGTTCAGACTGAGCGAACTGGTACCTGGCGCTCACATATTGGCGTTGTCAAGTTTTCGAAAAGGAGCAGCGCAATCCCTTCTCAAAACAGTCGGCTATTGTAGTTTCAACGAGGTCAATGGTATCTGGGTTCGTATGCTTCTGGTGGTTTTGGAACGCATACCGCCTGGCGATGCAGTCCGATATCAATATTCAATTCGTCGACTCCGTGGCTCCACGAGTAAAAGCTAGCGGAGACCGGTTTTGCAGTCAGTCAACTGTGGTGAGGAATACTCACCGTCATTTATGAGAGGATTCCTGTCATTGGAGCAAATTGACGCAGAGCATATAGGCAATTGGCCAAGTTTGCGGCCCTGCCTGATGCCCCTTGAACGATATTGATAAGGCTGCTGGACGCAACGGGCTCTAGCCGTGCTGGTAATGGGTGCAATGCGGCAGTGCAGCTCCTGAACGAAATGTTCTGCTCGCCAGAATTCTCAAGTCGCCTAGCGGTCATCTGGGCTCGAGCCAGCAATTGCAGGAACGACGAAAACCCAAGCTTCGGCCTCTTCCTGTGATTCGAAAAGAGACAGAGCAGCCTAGCATGGAAGAATGAACGTTGGATGACTCGACCGTATTTGAGACTCGATGCTCGTCCAGATACCCTTCAACCAGATTCGAGAGCCGGCTGAGCGAATGGCCATTTTCTTTGTATGGTGTCTGGGTTGTTGCAAAGTGATGAAGTCATAGTTCCGCGCCGTCTCTTCGCGAATTCGACATTCCTGTGTCTCAAAGCCACCGCTAGGCAAATGGGGTGTTGCTAAGCAGGGGGTTTGCCGACCGAGAAGTCAGCCGGTACCAGCATTCCTTGACTGTGAATCTCGATGCCAACTTCTTTTCCATCGAAGGATTTCGTGGCAGAAAGGGTAGATCGGCTGAACCTGTCCATTCCATGGAGCTGTATCGACGCAGCGTGCCGTCTGGACTCGAGGCGGCTCTAGGGCAAGCCGCCCCGGAGGTTTACACCTCTGAGACGCTTCAGAATGTAGCCAGACCTCGTGGCAGAAGTACTTCCGACCAATGGTGATGCAGCACGAGGGAGATGGAGTCGAGTTGCAGACCAGTGGTCGGGAGATGGACACGCAGATCTGCGGTGAGTGTTAGCTTAAAAACGTTTGGCAGCAGGGGGATGGGATATGCCGGCTCATTTGGGAGAGAAAAGGCTGGGATTGGCGGATTTGGTGCTGGGCATCGTTGGCAAGCTTCTCGCGTGGCTGGGGATGGACGTCGAGTGGAATGGGTTTCCCGCCGTGGTGGAGTACGATGGGGTCAGGTTTCTCGAATGGCGAACGCAACGATTGAGGATTCGGGAGACGCTGCTCCCGCCTAATAGTTTTTGATGTCTTGCTCTTGAATAGTACTCGGAACGGATATTCGTTGGCAACGGAGCGGGGAAGTTTGATAAATGCCAAAGATGGCGTGCCTGATGCGCACGTGTATCCGTGATGTGCCTGGCACGCAACTCCGGACTCAGGCGGCAAAGACGGGTTTGAATTGTCTTGGACGCCGAGGCTTTGGGAAACCGCAAGCTGCGTTTATATCGGTAGCGTCCCGGATCAGCGGTGGTTGAATACCTAGCTCGCCATTGACGATTTGGGTGGCTGGTTTCAGACCAAGTCGAACTCTTTGTGTACTCCGTACGAGCACAAATATGTGAGTGACGAAATGATTGTAACGAGTCCAAGTCGACCATGGATGCAGTTTATCAGAATTGGCTTGCGGTCGGACAGGGCTTCTGAGTAGGGATGAGAAATCGGTAATTTGACAATCTAAAGAGAGAAAGTTGCCCCACGCAACCTCAGTTGGAGCAGAAATACGGAGCAAGAGAAGAGTCCGATGCAGACTCGGTCTTTCGATGATTGATGGCTGGAGGATGGAAGCGAAAGAAGATCGCGGCGCCGCCGAAGCATGGGCCAACGGCCAGGTCAGAGCTCTTCCCATTAGAGTAGTCAGGTACGTACCGCTCTGCTCAGAACAGCAAGCTGCTTTTCCCTGTGGTACTTTACCTTACCTAGGTAAGGTTAAGATGGTAGCACAGTAGCTAGAGCGTAAGCGGCTAGAGTGTGGTAGAAATTGATAGAGACTCCGTTAGGTCAATGATCTTAGCGGCCCGACCGATCCGAAGAGGCTTTTCCACAGGGAACATACCGACTTTCCAAGAATTGGTCTCAACGTGCCTGAATGTGAGGGTTGCACCAAGTATCATCGCCTGATTATCACGCCCGGGTACATAATGCACCCGCTATGCATTCCTGATTTCCGATGAAGCTGAGCTGATGAATGGGAGCTGTAGGTATCTTCGCACCTAGTGACCTGGCCCAATGGATTCGACGTCAGTGGTTATCGCCAGAATACCTACGTGTATCCATAGTGCAGGGAGAAAGGTAGGGAATATGGAAGTGCCTGGTAGGAATCGATACATATCTTAGGTTGCGTAGGTACGGAGTATGTGGTTGTTGTTTGTGCGGAGAGTGACATGTGTCATTGGGAATTGTGCTATCAACCTTGTTTTCTTGCCCGAGTGCTGCAGCAAACTAGGTCCGGATGCTGCCGCCATCGTCTTCTCGGGTTCGTTTTACTCGCACACGTTTTTCACTCATGTTGCCTTGGATCAAGATGAATGGCCTGGGATGCTTCACAGGTTTCAATCGCTCGCAATGCCCAATACCAGTGGCCAGAGTGACCAGACTCCCAGAGCAGGTCTTCGTACCGCTAAGCAGCGCCGTGCGTGCTGATGCCATCCATGATCCCGGCGCCATTACCCCTGCCCCCGTATCCCGGTTTCGACCAGTTTCGGGCAGGTCGAGCTGCAAAGGAAAACAATCCACCACCCATTCGTTCTCCATCTGCCCTTGTCCGTCGACGGTTTGCCGGTTCCAGGCCAGGGCCTATGAAATGGCATTCCAAACCAGACATCTTGCCCAGGTATTCCTACACTAAATGCTAAGTGACTGAGGTGTGTGTGTGTGTGCTGAGGTGGGTAAGGTACCTCTGTTACCGCCCGCCCAGGCACACACACCGCACCGCTATAGAATCATCATATGAATACGAGATATCCCTTCCTCACCCTTTCTCACCATCCACTCTCGTCCATTCATTCACCCATGTCTGCGGCCTGCCTGTGCCTCTCTTCTCCAGGCCCTCTCCTCCCTTCTACTCCTACGGAATACTCCTCCTGCCTCTCCCAGCTCACTCGTCAGCTTCTACCCCAGACTATATTCGCATCTGGTTCTGGACCCTGACTTGATCCCGCCTTCGCCTTGTTCTTAACCGATCCGGTTCGAGCAACCGCCGTCTGCAAGTGTCCGCTGTCGCGCCTGATTCACCACTGCGGATACAATTGCAGTCTGCGGCTTACTGAGTCTGGCTTCCCTGTTTGGCTGAATCACACCCCAAATCCAGAATCACACCAGCGCCCTGCCGGTCCGCTCATCCTTGCCGTCGGTTCTGCGCCGATTTGGGGACAATCTTGAACATCAAAGACAAAACCCCTGCAAGACGGCCATTATCTTGCACTTGCCTCCCGCCACTACGGACCCTTCTCGCCCCTGCCTTGCCGCTCTTCTCCTGAGGCTTTTCTACGCGCGCCGTCAAAACACAGTCGATAATCCAACAACAACAATTTCTCTAGCAATCTTCACGACAACTCGGCTCCATTACTCCGTACCCTTTGTGCCGTTGCCCCAGCAGGATATTGCTTCGACCTCACGCAGAAACGTACTAGTCGCTCAACATCCTAGTCGAAGCACCCCAAACACCTCCATCTCGTCTCGGACAGGACCCTGAGCTCTCCACCATTCATCAAGGCACTTTCTGCTGCTTCGGGAAGCCCACTTACGATCTTCCGTGTCCTCCGAGCCACCTCCAAACTTCGACCCAGCCAAGGCATGCGACACAACTGAATACCTACATGTCTTTTGCCATTGCTTCTCAGCACTTGGTTCGATTTCCTCCAGACATCACCGCTCCCACTACGACATAACCCGCATTCGCCGTCTTTGTGTGCACGCCCATCAGCATCCTTCGGGCATACCAGCCCAGGAGTTTCCGAATCGCCCGGTCGCTCCTTTGCGCCAACCGCCCACGATGGCCCGATTCGGAGGCTCGACTTCGCTCGCCGCGACCCTGATCGTTCTGTTCAGTTTCTTTGCTACGATCTTGGCAGCCACGGAAACTGTCTACATCACCGGCTCAGATAAAGATGGCAACAGCAAGCAGCTCGCGGTCAATCGCAATCCTGGCCTGTTCACTGGCGATTTTGGCGACTGTCTGGGAGGACAAAGTTTGTTCAACATTACAAAATTCGATGCCGCCTACTATGCCGACAACATGACTGTCCAGTTCCATTTGGACGGTACGACCAATATCAGAAACGAATCATTAATGAGTAGGTTGAACTAATCTGAACTTTTATCCATGTACTAATCACATATTGCAGTGCATATCAACGTCGAAGCTTGTAAGCTACATTCAAAACTTGGGACGAACCTGCACGTAGAGATGGGGTATGCTGACTTGAGGCAGATGGCGAGACGAGATTCGAGATGAACTTTAACCCCTGCATGGCCAACATCGCTAGGTGCGTTCTAGCCCCGACGCCTCTCAAGACTGTCTGCTAACTTTCCGCAGTCTGTGCCCTCTGAACGCCAGCAAGCCCATCACTGCATTTGCAGAGTTCAGACTCACGCCTGCTCAGATCGACGGCATTCCTTCCATCGCCCTCGATATTCCCGATTTCGAAGGTTCTGCGCGCATCCAAATCTTTGCAAACTCGAGTCAGACTCAAATAGGTTGTTTCCAAGCCGTCATGCGGAACGGCAACAGCTTCTCCCACCCAGCCGCGATTTCATCGATATTGGGCGTGTTCACACTCGCCGCGATCCTGGCTTCTGCAGCAACCGCCATGTATGGTGTTAGCATGCCTCATATTAGGACACACTACGCCCATTCACTGTCAGTCCTGGTCATCTTCGAGACTTATCAGACCGTTTTCTTCTCGGGTGCCTTGTCCGTCGACTGGCCTAGCGTTCTACCCGCCTGGTGGAGCAATTTTGGATGGGCCGCCGGCATGATATACAGCGAAAAAGTAATCAATTCGATCGACGGTTTCGCCGGCGTGACTGGTAATGCCAGCCAAGTAGGTGGTGCAGGATCGACCGTTATCAACACCGGGGGTGGCCTCGTCCAGCAAATTTATGGCCGCTCGCTCGACACTTTCTCGACGTCTAGCGATGGAGCGCCCGTTCCGAATCTCGTGCAGCGAGCGACTAGGGTTTACAACACAAGCAATCCATACGAATACTACTGGGCGGGAGACCCCGTCGCTCCGGGCATGCCTACACCGGGCAAGTGGATTGGGTTCGCCGGAGACCTTTCTGCCCTGGGCATTCCGGCCGCCGATGCTTTCACACTTGGTCTTATCTGGTGGTTGGTGGCCATTGGACTGGTTGCCGTCTCCATCGCTGCGTTCAAGTTCATGCTCGACTTGCTTGCTCGGACAAAGCTGATCAAACAGGATCGCTTCTTGTACTTCCGCAACCACCTGGGCGGATATCTGGCAGTTGGTGTCCTGCGCACGCTACTCATTTCGTTCTCCTCCTTGATGACCCTGGCGCTATTCCAGTTCAATATTCGCGCGCCGGCCGGCCCGACAGCTATCGCCGCGATCATCTTCATCATCTTGCTCATTGGCGTTGGCGGCCTTGTAGCCTACGCATGTTTCTTCCGTCTCCGCCTCGGCAAGTATGAAATGGGCCCCGATACGATCATGTTCGAACAGGGCAAGCTCTTTGGTTCAATACCAGCGGTTGCAACAACGCGTGCCAGCGAAATTGGCGAAAAGGAAACCACCGCCAAACGTTACGGATCCCTCCCGTTCTTCAAGATCCGATTTATTGACGACGACCCAAACCGGACAACGGTCCACCAAGACGAGGTTTACATCAAACGTTTTGGTTGGCTATCGGCTCGTTACCGCCGGACCAGATGGTGGTTCTTCGCCTGCTGGCTAAGCTACCAATTCATTCGGGCCTGCTTCATTGGTGGCGGAGCACGAAGCCCCCTTGCCCAAGTTTATGGATTATTCGTCTTCGAGATCATCGCTTTCGTTGTCTTTGTCAAGCTCAACCCCTTCGAGGGCCAAAGAAACACTTCCTTGGCAATCTGGATGCTGGGCATCACAAAGATTGTCACTGCAGGATTTTCTATTGCCTTCTTACCCGCATTCGCCATTGGTCGCATCCTCTCTACGGTTTTCGGCATTATCATCATTGTCGTCCAAGGATTCCTTGTTGTTGCCGTCTTGATTCTTATTGTTCTAGGTGCCATATCATCATGGATGTCGCTTTACCGAAATCGCGAACAGTTCCCCGAAGTGCTGGATGGAATTCGCATCAAGTACTACGAGCATATCCAGGCTAGAGCCACTGACCTGCCGCCACCACCGAAACCAGATCCGAAGATTGAAGAGCCTCGGGAGCCACCGCAGCCATATTTCTCGGTCAACAATGTTCGCCGGACTCGCAAGATTGAGGACGATGACGAAGAAGACCAGGTTGGAGATATCATTCGGCCGGCCAATGCTTCAGTAGTACAATTTGCGCCAGGTACTACCACCACCCGACGAACCCGGACAGATAGTGTCAGCTCGCGCTACTCTGTTGGTAGCTTGCCGCGCCGCGCCAGACCACACCGCACTTCATGGAGTTCAGCTGATTTTGCTGAATGGGATGCCAACAATAATGCGGATCGGCCGGGATCATCGCTCGCACACCGCAGCAGCTTCGGTCATCAGCGCAAAGTGTCGCACTCTGGATCACAACCTGACCTCGGACGCTCCGCCAACAACTCGCCGGCGCCTGCAAGATCGGTGTCGATGACGAACAACGAGTTGCGCCGTCTCATGACTCCCACCGAGGAACTTCCAGAGGAGAGTGTAATGACACCCGGGAGCATGGCCGAGCCTGAGACCAGCACGAAACACACTGATACCGCCATTTCCCCCATCCACGAAAAAGACGAGCATGAAGCCAGGAAGGAGAATGCTTCTCCGGTTGAAGAAAAGCCCCAAAAGTCCTAAGCTACCATAACGAACATCAGAGCTGGTTTCACAACCATACTGCATCAGGCCTTGACACCACAAGCGCCTCCATTTCGAAACTGTGTCGACATTGGTTTCCTTGTTGTGGAATTGCACTGCATAGACGGTCAATATTTTTGACCTTTACGAACTTTCATGAGAAACGATCACTGGGCGTTAGCGGAAATGCTCATTTGAAGAAGAAGAAACCCCTTATCTTTGTAATGGCACTAATGTGTGGAGGACAGGCCGGCCGTTCCGGCCGTTGCTCACATCTTGGAACGTGCACATATTTGTATGGCCTCTGGATGAGCCGCAGTACATGGATACACACTTATAAAAGCAAGAAAGTGGCAGGCTCCAAGCATAGAGATTGAGTTGACAGGTAGACCTAGAGAACAGTATCAAGTCTTAACATAGAGTCGTCTTAAATATGGCATAAGCTATTCCCTTTTGTGCACAAAAAACACTCGCAACTCCCGCTGGTTAGTTACCTTTCTTCCAGATTTCAAGCTTATTGGACCAAGGTGGTTGATGTAGAGCTTTCTGAATATCTTTGGCCTGTCATTCACCGTAGGAGATAAAGAGACAAAGGTAAGTGGCACCGCCACTTATTCATCCCAACTCATCCGCGCCACGAGAAGGGTAATTTGTGCTCAAAGGTGGCAAGGTAGATAGCAAGGCTACTTGTGGCGAAGAGCTTTGGTTTTGAGGCTCATGCTCTGCGGAATTTATGCAAAAGATGGGATGAATTGTTACGGAGTTGGGCAATGATGGCGAGTGGGATTCGAGCTGGTGAGTTGAGGCGCATGGTTATCAGATGAGGGTACATGTAGCTTTCACCTTTCTAGCGTGGTATTGTCGACTGGTGAGATCGTTTTCTGAGAATGGCTACTAATACTACTACTTTTTTGGTTGTCTCCTTCCTGTAGGCCAAGACACGTTGGGCTGCGCGCAAAGAAACAAACATGCACGGGATAGCTCTGAAAAGGTTCAGGATGTGCAGCTTTAGACATCTCTCTAGATTACTGAAATAATTAGAGGAATGGGCTTCGCATATTAGTTTGGGGAGTTCAATCATGAACAATTCAGTATCACCCGTTGAAGCGGAGGGCATCCCGGTGCCGCCCAGCAACGCCACAGTCACCAATTACGGAGGAACATTCCTTGACTTCTACGCCTCGACGGCACCTAGTACCGGGCAGCCATACCCCATCGGGACTCTGAATTCGACTACTAGGCGGATGCGAGTGCGAGCCGGGTGAACCTAGAACGACTAGGTACCACCTTAGTATGCTCGCCGCCACTTACACTCTGACCCTCTACCACGTACGTCCCTTGCTATCGATCAGGATTAGAGATATTGTGGAAGAATGTGTGCAAAAAAGATGGCTTGATTCATATCAGATAAGAGAGACGTCGAGTGCGAGAGCCCGTCGTCATCTCGCGAATATTAGACGAATGGAGGGGCGCGGGGTGAAAGTCTATCCGATAACGCGTGTCGCAGAAACATCCCATAGGAGCCTTTCGCAAGCCACACACTTGCCCTACTGTGGTATACTTCTCGCATCGAGCCGCGACGCCTTCATCTGAAGTTTCGGGTGTATTTCGGACCCCCGATTTCGATTCGACACTGCCCTGCTGTTCTATGCTGTCGTATTCGCTGGGGCCTATGTTCAGCTGCCCATGTCTTCGCATCCCTTCGTCATTGCTCACATCAACCTGTGTTGCCCCCCGGACCCCGACCCCGATCTCTAACTCCTCCTTGGAGACAGGTTAACATTGACAAGTCTATATCAAGCTTGACTCCCGGCTTCGTTCTCTGACTGCAGCTTCCCTAGAACCACAGTCTTCGAATCAGACAACAACAGCAAACACCACGTCCCCTACTACCACAAATCACAATCGCTTACCAACAACCACACCTTCTAGACTTTTCCTGAAAAAAACAACAAAAATGTGTTGCCGAAGACGCCGCGCAGCCCGCCAAGCCTGGCTTGAACAACGCGCCCTCGCAGGCGGTCCCCGCGGCTGCGGTGGCCCCCGCCACTTCGGCCCCGGCCCCGGAGGCCCACCCTTCCGTCCGCCTTGGGCATCAGGAGGCGGCTACGGCGACGGCGGCGGTGGTGGCCCCCCCTTTGGCAGATGGCGCGCCATCCCACAAGACAACGTCCCCCAGGACCCCTTTCGAGATCCTCCCGCCACCCCTCGAAACGACCCAGCTACTAGAGACCCGGAAAAGGGAGGCATTAAGATGAACGTTAAGGACGTTGAAAAGAGCACGCCCGCTCCCTCCGCCCCCGTCCCTACTCCGGCTCCAGAGGGTGACTCGAAGAGGGTTTCATTCATGTCTGGTCCGTTTTCGCGGTGGAGGGAGTCCGTGAGGAGGTCGTCTTCGAATGCGACATTGCCTCCTAGATATACCTCTGGCGTCACCGAGGCGCCGCCGTACTGGAGCGGTGAGCAGGCGGGGAATAGGCGGTCCTTGCCGCCGGATTACGATGTGGCGATTAAGAACTGAGGGAGAGGATGACTTATGGAGGATATATGACGGGAGATATTGTAGCGTGTCATGTGGACAACGTTGATGGGTTTGGTTTGCGTGTAACAGGTAGCAAATGTATACAGAGTTGGAAAAGGTTATATTGTTCTTTACAATATTACAGAGAATTATACGTAGTACGTTGTTTGTCGCAATTGTTCGCACTGGGTATTGTAGAGCGTGAATCCAAAACAAAATGAGAAAAATCCTTCCAACGCCCTGCACCGTCGCTCTGAAAATGAAGTAATTAATTGTACCGTGTCCCACGTATAGTAGAGCAGAAGAACGGTTCGTTCGCCGGGATACTTAGAAGACTCAGACTCAGACTCAGACTCAGACTCAGACTCAATCCCAATCCTCGTACCCGCCAGCTCCGTAGGGATTCCACTCCTGGCCGGGGTAACTCGTCGCGCTCATCTGGGGCACATCCGCCGGCTCCTCTTCCTTTCTGTACTTGACCCCTCCCGACGACAGCTCCTCGTACGGGTCGACCAGAATCTTCTCCTCCTGGGCCTCGCGCCGCATGGTCCTCTGACGTTCGTCTTCCGTATCCTCCAGCTCGGCTCTCGTGCTCTTGCCCCTCGCCAGGGTCGTCGAGGCCGCGGCGGCGCCTGCGCTAGCGCTGCCGTTGGTGTGACTGGCGTTTCGGGGCGCTTCGTCGGCAGAGCTGTCGCTGACCATGCTGTGGCCCGTGTTTGCAGCGACTATGGGCTGTGCTGCTGCCGGCGGCTGAGAAGGATTAGAGGGCAGAAGCGGTGTGGATTCGTAGAGATCATTGTTGTCTTTGGGTTCTTGGTTTGCTTGCTGCACGTTGACGCTGAGGCGAGGTGCCGTGGGTGCTGATGCTGGCGCGGGCACTGACGGTTCAGACGATATGATGTTCTCCGCCGGCCGTTGCTTGTCGTCAGAAACACTACGGAAGTTGTTTCCCATGATACTACCAGCATCGATTGCAAGCCCTTGCGTCTGCTGAGCGTGCTCCTGAGGATGGGGAGATGGAGGCTTGTCATGCGGGCTTCGGACCACATTACTGGCATGCGTTTGCCCTTCAGCAGAGTTGGTCTGTTGATTTCTCTGAGCCTCTCTGCTATTACTTTGATGCATATGGGGAGATGCTGCGACTGGAGCTGGCGTATCGACTAGGGAGTATCGTTGCTGTTGAGGCTGTTGACTTGGCGGCATGGTTTGCTGACCAAATTGCGAGTCCGGACCCGCGATACGGCTGTCGTCTTGGTTCACCAACCGTATTCCTCTCGGGTCTTGTTGTGGCTGATGTTGCTGATTGGGAACTGGCACATCACCTTGCGGACCGACATGGGCCGCCTGCGTGCTATGGCTGGCGTGCGAAATGTTGGACTGGTGGGAGGCCATGCTCACGCGCCGGTCACCCTCGGGCCATGCGCCTCCCTGTGGATGGCTGTGAAGCAGCTGCTGTCCTTGCTGTATGGGAGGGCTGGGGTGGCTGTACATTGACATTTCAGACGGATGCCTTTGAGTAACAGGAGGCTGGCCCCATTGTGGCACCTGCGGTGAATGGTACGCAGGATACTGAACCGGTGGCGAGGTGCGTGAGAGGGCGTAGGGAGATGGAGCTACGCCTCCTTCACCGTGAACGGCATCATATCCTCGAGGGATAGGGACTTGGTCGTACTGAGGTTCAACGTAAGGTTGGGGGTTGGCGCGTACGCTTCCACCTAGCCCAGGACCGTTCGGAATTGCCCGAGTCATAACAGGTTCGAAAGGTACGTCCTGTTGGCTTGAGAATCTTCCGTTGTTTTGCCGCATCGCTTCGGGGCTTCTGCCAGCCATGTTGTGTTGAGGGAGAGGTCCTTGCTCAAAGGAACCCATGGATGGGCGCTGTTCTTGGTACATGTGATGAGGTCCTTGTTGTGGTAGGTGATTTCTCTGTGATAACGGAACAGCTGGCGGCATCCTTTGCTGACCTTGGCTCTTGTGAGACTGCTGCAGCTGCGGTTGCGACTGCATGTCTTGAACCTGGCTTGGAAATGGCATCTGCTGTTGAGGTCGAGGTTCTGGCTGCTTGGATGATCGCTTGAACGCACTGAAAATGGACTTCGTTGTCGATTCTTTCTGGGGGCCTTGGTTAGGCCGAGGTTGTGGCTGTGTTGAGGTCCTGTTCTTGAACCACTTTGATACTGGGTTCTGTTGACCATCTACACTCGAGTCTTGACCGCTGGACTGCATGTCTTGGCTTTGGGGGAAAGGGAGCGAAGAACGCTGATTCGGTGGGGGAAACGCTTGAGAAAATTGAGCTGGAGGTCTGTTTTCAGCATCAAAGCCCTGGTGCTGATGCTGAGGTGGATGTGGGTGCTGTTGTTGTTGGTGTTGGTTTTGATGTTGATGTTGATGTTGAAGAGAATGCTGAAAGAGCTGAGGCTGCTGCTGAGGACGTCCTGGAGAAGCCACTCCAGTCATTTGCGGACCCGTCCCATCGGGC